TGCTACGTAGTTCTTCTCTTGTCCACCTCAAAGTGATGAAAAACACAATCAGAGCAACAAATACCAGTGTGCGGTGAAAGCCTTACCAGATTGCTGGGGAACACCTACATAATGAGGTAGATGTGCGTGACACCAGCAAAGTAGCAATTTACCTTAATTTCCACAAAACCTACCTTTTCATTGAGGTGTGTAAAATTAATTAGGAGCTCACATGCCAAGCAATTGGACATTCCATGGCACTTGCAAATGATGCTTTAAAAAAAAAATCTGTTTAAAAAGTTACAAAGCTTCTGCAAGTTGCTTTCTGAGAAGAGTAGCTTTCTTTGAATACTTTCTGTGCTCTCTGTGAATTTATTTTGTGGATAAATAGCTAACACTGCTCCCATCCCTTTTGCCTTATTGCAGTCTTACCTTGCTAGTATTCCCCTTAAGTCCTTCATCAGAGGGATCAGCTAGTCCTTGGCCCTCCTGCAGTTACAAGCAGCGGAGCCAGGGGCAAATCTCTGCCCAGAAAGTTCAAGAAAGCAGCTGTGAACTGGTAGGGAGCAGGTGAGCTGGCTCCAGGTGTTGTGAAAGCTGCCTCAAAACTTGCACTATGTACAATGCACTATGTACAGTGGTGGTCCTAGCAGGCAGAAACATCTTATCAGCTCATGTCAAAGCCTTTCTTATTCCTCTGAACGGTCAATCCCTTAACATTATTCTGGATAATATAGCAAAGCAAAATGCTTGGTTGAGTTTCACAAATACACAAGTATTGTCTTGGTAAGATTTTTCTGGTAAGGCAGATGGCTCATTGAAGTTCATAGGAATAAAATTTTATATATATATATATATATATATGAAAAAAAAAGCCTAATCACAAGGTCTAGTTTATCTGCACTGAGATAAAATCTTTCAGAAAACAATTTTAACTTGGGAAGGCATCTCAAGCTGAGTTTTATTTTTTGAACCTGTTGCAGCACCATACTGCAAAGGATGAGACAGATACCTAGTACAGTTGCATGTTCAATGATCTATTGGTTAAAGCAATTTCTTCTTGTTGCTTAAGAAAAAGTACATCTTTTAAGTCTGTGTTAATACTCCAAGGCTTTCAAAACACTTAACAAGCCTGGCATTTGCAGGCTGGCAGTATGTTTTGCATAATATCAATAGCTTGTCTTTGTGTCCCATGGGAAAAAGAAATCCTTTTCTTTGTGGTGCATTCATACAGACCCTCTGCCCGAGAGGATTGCAAGTGGAAACAATTTTTTTGTCTTTTGAAATCGAATTCCAGCAGGCCAGGTGTTTTGATGAATCTTCTAATGTATATCTAGCCAAGAAGGTTTTATAAAACCTACCTGAATTTTAGTGGGTGAGTCGGTTGGTTTTTTTGTAATTTTATGGAGCCCTTGATGGAATATATTCAAACAGATGCAAGAAATGCTGTTTGATCTCTTCAGATGGTTATATTGTGCTTTCTGTTAACACTGCTTTGGCTTGCTGCACTCTGCTTCCTCGTCAATTGAGGGTGAATTTGGATAGAGGAGCTGGCAAGGCTATGGTATTTACATAATGCCTTTTTTTTTCTGTGAACCCTGAATGTGGATGGAAACAGTCTCTAATCTTCTTAGTGATCTAAGCAAAGATTGAATGCTTTGGGTCAAGCTGGGTTTTGGATAGGCTCAGTTAAGAAAAAAAAAATTTAAAAAAATCCCAGCTCTTCACAATGATTGCAGTTGGAATTATTTGCAGGCTGAGCTGGTTAATGTTTCAGTAGTTGATAATATTTTTGATATTTCTCCAGTTTGTAAAGACCACATAATTTGTTTTCAACCATACTTTGAGACTTCTTGGAAACAGAACAAACAGCCCTTGTATTAAGCTCTGGGCACTGTTCGCATTCATTCCCCGTAGGATAGTTTTAAGTTGTATCATGAGGGATGAAAAGGCAAATGTCAGAATAAGCAGTGTACAGAGGCTTTCTTTCCACGATGAACTCTGAATCGCTGGAAAAGAGTGCAGACCTGATCTTAATCCTTCTTGCACCACAACCACTGTGACATGGTAAAGGGAGGAGGAGTTCATTAGGTGGCTGTCTTTTTGTATCTCAATTATTAAAACATTCCAGCTGTGATTTTCCTGGTGTGTTACAGTAAAAAAGCTTTTCAAACACTGTTATTATACAATTATTTTTTTAAAGTGAATAAATATCCTGAATTCAGGCTAGAAGTGACATTTCATACTGGATTTGCCTTGCCTGACTAGATTTTGCAGTATTTTTTCATGTGGAAGTTATAGTTTGTCAGGTGCTCTGAACAACATGCAAGTACAATATATTACAATGAAGGGGGAAAAAAAATCACTCTCTCCTATTTGCATTTTCCTTTTCCTTCAAGCTTACTTTCCCCAATCCAAAAATTTATGCTAAGTAACTTGACTTCATGTTGTCACAAGGGGCTTTTGTATATAAATGCATCTTCACATAATATAAGATCACTCGGAAAATGATTTTTCAGAACATGAAAGTTAGTAGTTAGTTAGTTATTCTCGGCTGTTAAGACTTGTACCATTTTATGACCTTTTTGAAACTGCTGTTGTTATTCTTACAGCTGTTGTTATTCCTGTAAGTGGTGTATTTCAGAATGAAACCCTTTCTATCTGTGCTATAATAAATAACCAGAAACAGCTTACTGAAAACAGTGAGGCAGGTAAGGACATGATTAGCTCTTGAGAGAAAGGAACAGAAATTAACCATTCTCAGAATTTGGTCTTTCAAATGTTCTGACTTTTTCATCAGTCGAGGGAAATATTTAACAACTTCTACCTTTACAGTATATGTTGTCACTGTAGACACATTAGAGGTGCATCTGTTTTGGTTTTTCTTCCTTTACCTTCAAAGAAGATGACTGATTTGTTAAAAAAGTGGGTATTTTTCTGTCAAGTATGTCCTTGTGATTATCCAGAAAGAAATGTGAAAGGTATAAGAAAATTTTGGCCATCATTGTCCTGCAGTGTAAAATTTGAAAGGGAGGAATCAGGGGCAGTTTTGTGAACATATCTGCCTTGTTTTCCCTATTTATAAGGAAAGTATATAGGAAGGAAGGAAAATACACACGCACACATATATAAACTTTTCTTATCTATATTCTTTTTTATGACTAAAAGGAGATATATATATATATATATATATGGGTACAATAATCAGAATCGGATATTGCAGGAGTCCAAATTGTGCCTGTGAAAATTTATCAAAAAAGCCAACCAAATCTGAAGCACCAAACTCTGTATTGTTATACTAATTGGAAGAAATAAAAGATAACAAGGGGCCTATGGCCTTAGAAATCAACTTGTTGGTGAGACTGAGCCAATCTAAATCTGGCTGGAACCAGAAGAAGTTGTTCAGCCCTTCCTCCCTTTCCCCTCTCTGGCAGCATGTTCCCATTGCTCCTTTTTGCCTGTTCTACTGCGCGTGTGTCCATGCCATGAAGAATAATTGTCTCCTGTCCCACTTCCTTCACAGTGTTAATTTTTGCCCGGGGGGAATAATCCTCTTGGAGTTAGGGCACCACCTCTGGTGCCAGCATAAGGGCATCAGTGGACACGTACAGCTGGAGGCCACAGGATCACACCTTTTAGTGGCAGCGTGGATTTAAATCACATCGAAAGCAGTATGAACAAGGAGCCCAGGCTTTACATGCGTTGTGCCCCTTGTAACCACAGCATTCACTGTAATGACAGGAGAGATTTAGACAAATATGCCACTGGGCTAATTAAGGGCTCTTCTCCTAAAGAGGCTTTTGTCTCAAGCTTGAGTTCTGGAGATCTGAATGTAGCCACCCACTGCCTTGGGTTTTGGCTTTTTCTTAAATTTTAGCTCTACAGCTCTAAATACAGCTATATATATAATAAATACTACTACTATAAAACCACAGTAACAAGACACATTTTAAGGACTTTATTAAGAGTTTGTTTCATTTTAATATTTAAACCAGTATGATATATTATATGAGTGCTCTAGTTTCAGCTTTGGGGTTTTTATTTAAAACTGTTTAGGGAACAAATTATAAATGTTATTTTGTTCAGTCCATTTCCAGCCAAGATTTCCATGATGAATGCTTACAGGTGATAGATTTGACTTAAAGGAAGTGTTAAAAAAAGATATTGCAACAATTGGTGTCAGTGCTGAGCTATTCTACAGTAGTGTTGCTCAGACCATCCAGGTTCTGTACTCGAGATATAAAGGCTGTTTTCAGTGAAACTTCTCATCGGAAATGGGAGCTGAATATTTTAGTCTAAAAGCAATGCTGGACTGACTTACTGCTTAACAGTAGTTGTGAAGGATTATTAGTGACTTGAGTCGGCTTGCAGGGTGTTGCAGGTTTAGCATATATGAAAGCATTTATCAGTATTTCTTTACATCAGCTGTGCCTGTGTCTGGAAATGCTCATGAATGTCTGAGGTGAAGCAGTAAAACTGTGATCCCATGGCTCTTGCAGATTTTAAAAATCTTTGTACTGCTTGAAATAAATTAAAACAGAGTTTGAGCTTGACGATTGCGCTTTACTTTTTTTGTGCTTCACCTTTCATCCTTTCATAAATTGGCAGGGACACAGTTATCTCCATTCACAGGAAGCTGAACAACACTTACAGTGTCAAAGCTGGTTTGAATTAAATACGTTTTCCCAAAATTTGATACTGCAGGATTGCGTTTTTCTCTCTTCACAGTTATATCATCTTTCTTCTTTTTTTTACTGAAAGGGCAATGTCTTGGCTTTCAGAGTTTATCAGGACATGGTCAACCAGCCCCTTTACAGTCCTTATAGAACTCTTCTTATAAAATAAATGGTAGCAGATGGTTTAGAAAATACACCCCAATTTCCGCCAAAACTTAGAAGTCTCCTGGATTTTTGTGCCATAAATATTCCTATTGCATTCCCTTTCATGTTATCTCATGCTCTGTAGCCTTAATGAAAGCAATGGGGCATTGTTTTAATACTGCTGTTTATTTTTCTCTCTAGCTGTGTGCTGCCCACCTGCCAACCCGATCAGAGGCACCGAACCACTATCAAGCAGTATGTCGGGCTCTGTTTGCTGAAACAATGGAACTGTACACTTTCTTGGCCAAAATTAAAAGTGCAAAAGAGGTAAGCAGTCTGAGAAGGTTCTCTGCTTTTGAGCTCATTACTGTGTGAATTAGGCTTACAAAATCACTCTGTACCCAGCCAGCAGTGGATGTCAGATGCTCGAGGACATTATCTGTAGTGTTCAGGGAGAGCAGTTCTACAGCTGAGGTTTTTTTTTTCCTTTGGTCTGTAACCATTTATAGATATCTCATAGAAATTGTTATTAACTGCAACTAGTCTATTTGGGAGTAAACCAGAAGGTTTTCTTGGAGGGTTACACATTGCATACATGCATCCATTCCTTCTCTGGTGTTTCAGGGATGTTGTGAGGCATCAGAGCTTTGCCTTTTGTTCCTCAGATCCTTCTTATGCCTTGTCTTTGGCTGAGAATTATCTGAGATTCTTCTTGCTCATATTTTGTCCCCAGTCAGCAGCTTCCCCTACCTTTGATGTGTGTGTAATTGGCTTGTCTGTCACATAGGCTTCACAGCAGAGTCAACTTAAGAGAAATTTCTGCCTGTGATGCTTATGTTCAGTGCCTGCTTGGCTGGTACTGTTGACTGAAAGGCCATCCTAGGAACCACTTCAATTAAATGGTCTGGCTGAAGACTAACTTTGAGGGTGGGTGGATGATTTTTAATGAAGATAGTTTCAGTGATCTGGCCTGCAAAATGGCTCCATAAACAATTTTATTAACACAGTGGGAGTGCTGGTTACATTGGAAAACCAGTGGATAAAGGGAAGGGCAGGAAAGGAAACAGGCTTCTTAAAGCTGGTTTCTTCACTGAAGCCAACTTGTCAAGTAAGAACACTTTTATAATTTTTCTTTTTCATAAATCCCTGAAGGATTTTCTTTTCTTTTTTAAGTCCAGAGCTACAGTACCTTTGAAAAACAGGATAAGATTTTACAGACTGATCTAAAAATTTTGCTGCTGACAGAGGCAGAGCTGTTCCACCCACACACACATGCTCCCACTGTTTTCCTTGGTCTAGTTCTAGGAAACAAACACAGCAAATACCAAACAAAAAGAAAGGGAGTCATTCCTTGTCAGGTTAATGAGCTGAATCAGCTCATTAAAGGGTCAGTTGAGCCTCCGAGCAGCACAAGAGAGCTTTTCTCCTCACACTGGTGGTGAAAGATGCAAACCAGTCAGAGGCATAAGGTACTGGTGCTGTCTTTCCTTCCTGGTTGAGATGCATCCATCCAAGGGGGAGAATCCTTGAGAGATGTTTTTCTGTTGGTCAGGGTCAAGTTTCACCACCACTTTTCCTCCAGTCCTACTCAAACGGAAAGCAATTTTTAAACTGAAGCAGTATCATGCAAGGATAATTTGGACAGTGTCAGCATGGCTAAAGAGCCACTTGTTTTCTGAAGTGCCTGTGTTACGGTTCATCTGCATCCAATGCCCCTGATACAGAGAGCAGACAGGATACAAGTGTCTCTGTGCTAAATCTGTCTCCTGAACCTTGACGGCATTAATTTCACATCTCAGCTTTTGACTGCTCCTTAGTATTCTGACCCCTGGATATACTAATTGAGGCATCTGTGCTGGAAGCACCTCAATTAACAGCTATTGCAGAGTCTGTGTTGAGGCTCAAAGATAGGATCCTTTGGAGTTCATCTTTCTGCTCAGAGAGAAATTGTGTTTCCAGTAGTTCTTGAACATTTTGGCCACAGTAAGCAGTAATAAGGCACCTCTGTTGTCAATGTCAAATTAAAACATTGGGGTTTATAACCATTTAAAATTAAGTCTTAACAATAATTTTTTAAAAATTTATTTTAAAAGTAGAGGGGTGTTTTGAATTTGCAAATTATTTAATCACCTTGTAATTGGATGTAAAAAACCAACAACATCTGATCACACTGTAGAGCATACTATGAGTTAATCCCAAATGAAAGAAACCATTTGCCTCTCAAAGGCTATTAGGGATTGATTCAAAGCACATTTAGGTCAAAGGAAGTAATCCTTGTAGATGGAATTTTGGCCCAACTGAAATCAGTAAGACTTCTATTGCTGCACCTAACCAAGGCCAGAATTTTTATCTTTTGATTTCGTTTCACTCTGGGTCAGTCCCTAGTAGGCATACATGAAGTGACCGAGAAAACCGTCTTACAAGCAGCTTCTGGAAACTGAGTACTTTGTTTTATGATGCACTTGATCCTTGCTTATAGCTTTTAACCAACCAACTATAGATTTGGAATATATTTAATTTTGAAAATAATGTACTGTACAAAGAAAAAAGTAGGTATGAAGAAAATACAAGGTGGAATGCAGTAAATCTTGTTACACCATTTTAAAATTACCACTATAGTCTATACTTGAGGCAAGCAGGAATCATATGATCACACCCAGTTTGTGTCAGTAAAAGCTGTGGTATTGTTAATATGCTCTTGTCTCTTGCAAATACATAGAATAATCTTAATTAATGAGGAATATGGTTAAATACAGTTCAAGTCAATAAACTTTTCCTTTTGTTATTGTCATATGAGTATTGGGTGTAAAGGAGAGAAACATTTAATACTTCAATAAGGACATTTTACTGTCATGAATTTTTAGTGACTGCATTGGCATATAACTGGGAAAAACCCTCCAATCTTTAAAAGCCCTATACTGTGTAATGTTGTGTTTGTGACACTAAAGACGCCAGGAATTTTAAACTATTAGTTTATCTCAAAACTGACAGTTTTATTTGGAGAGCTTTCATTAGAATCCTTCAGACCTAGACAAGTTGTGGATGTGAGATCAAAATGAAATTGAGAACACTAAAAGGGGAAAAAGTCCTCTAAATGACTTAAATAACTTTCTTATGAAGAAAGATTACTTTGAAAATTCTTGGATTCTTTCTAGGGCCGCTGGATGGCATCTGGGTGTCTGTTTCCCAGCTATATGAAGTTTATAGTTTTTGCCCAGGAGGCGCTTAAACAGCCAACTTCACTGTAGTGAAAGAGGGAGAATTCTTAGCTGCAGAAATTCACTTGCTAGGAGTGGACTCAATGTCACCTATCTTGTGCTGCAGCACAAGATAGGTTTAGAAGGGAAGTACACTGTGAAAGAGGCAGAAGAAATATTGCTGTGATAGTGTTTTTGATTTGGCACTATAAAAAATTGACAGGATTTTCAAAGATACGGGATTCCATGAGGGATAGGTGAGGAGGCAGGAAGGGTGGGCCTATGGGGTTGTAATATGTTTTGTTACTAATATATAAACTGAGTAGTCATGTCCTCTCCAGTCTATCACGTGGACATCACTGTCATATAACAAATGGAGCGTAGTTTCACAAAGGGTTTTACTGGCATGCATTTGGGTGAGTGCATTAATCAGAAATGATGAAGCAATGAGTGAGCTGTTCAGATCATCTAAATGGATGTCAAATAAAATGTTTTAGGCACTTTGTCACATACTTGATGGCATGTGGGGTTTATTTCCAGTCTGATTCCCTGTGTATGAAAGGTCAGCAGTAATGCTGACTAGCAGACAGGGAGATGGCACTTCCATTCTTAAAGAGAATGAAACATTTAATGTAGTGCATGCACAGGGCAGGACTCAAGCCAGAGCTGGGAAAGGTGTGATACTACTATTGCAATAGCAAAAAAAAATAATAATAGAGTAACAGTAGTCAAAATACATGTTTCTGTGGAATAGCAGCAGCAACTCCAAAGGTAGGGTTGAAATTAACTAATCTGATCTAACTTTGCATCTTTTTGCAAGGTAAAATTTTTCTAGCAAGTTTACCGGGGTGTTTTTTCAGATTGCTGGCAGGATCTGTATCCTGTTCAGGTTCTGTGAAAAGTGCCTCTCCTGCAGATCCAACCCTGGGTACTGTCTGCTACCATCCAGAAGTGGTCTTTTGATGGGTCAGACCCACTAACTCTGTGTCCTGCTGTTTAAGTGTTTACAGCTGATGACAAAAATGGAATACAGCTTGTCTCTCATCTCAAGCAGTGAGCTTTTAAAATTCCAATAGGAAAATTCCACAAAAAGTGGATCTCTCCTTTTCTTTTCCTTTTTTATTTTGATTGTGTATGTGGAAAAATGATCAACAACGTGGAGGAAACGTATTCATGTCTGATGAGGGGGAAGATAGTTTGCATATCTGCTATAAATAGACCTCAAGTAAAAGAAAAGATTCTTTTTTTTTCCAGGATCATCCAAAAGTCATTGAGATCCCATTTGTTGGCAGCCATAGGCAGAACTGTAGGCACAAAAAGGTGATGTCCATGGGATATAAAGCAAATGTTCCTGCTGTGGGGTATCTGGAAAGGTCACACACATTGCTCAGAAACATCATCGAGTGTGACTGAGGGAGACAGGGAGAGAGTATGCAAGCGTAGGAATGCAGAAATTGTTGCTGTGGATCAGGTCAGGGATCCACCAGGAGGGGACATCTGCACTAGTCCTCCCTCAGCTCCCTGTTACTGCCCTGTCTTGCCTTCTACTGGAGTTAATGGTCCACGTGTGCTTAATGGCTGAGTGAGCCAGCAATGTGCCCTTGTCACAAAGACACCTTATGGTGTCCTGGGCTGCATTAGGAGAAATATTGCCTGCAGGTCAAGGGAGGTGATCCTTCCCCTCTTCTCAGCACTGGTGAGACCCCAGCTGGAGTGCTGGGTCCTTTTCTGGGCTCCCCAGTATGAGGGGGACATGGACATACTGGAAGGAGCCCAACAAAGGGCCACTAAAATGATGAAGGAACCGGAGCATCTCATGTATGAGGAGAGGCTGAGAGACCTGGGACTGTTCAGCCTGGAGAAGAGAAGGCTCAGGGGGATCTTATCAACATCTATAAATACCTGAATGGAGGGTGCAAAGGAGGCTCTTTTCAGTGGTGCCCAGTGACAGGACCAGAGGCAATGGGCACACACTGAAACACGGGATGTTCCCTCTGAACATCAGGAAACACTTTTTAACTGTGAGGGTGACCAAGCAGTGGCACAGGTTGCCCAGGGAGGGTGGGGAGTCTCCATTCTTGCAGCTAGTCAGAAGCCACCTGCATATGGTGCTGGGCAACTGGCCCGTGG